TTAAGAAAAATGGCTTACTAGAATGATTTTGATGTCTACACATGCTATGATGACTCACTTGTTTACTTTTTGAAGCACACATAACACTCGGATTTAAATTCAAGGTTTCCGCATTTATTTTATTTGAAATAGTTTTTTATACTTATATTTAGTGTTTTTGTTCTCGTAATAATAAGTAACGCAGCAGGCCTGAAAGTATGCGGTAATCGATTGTCTTTTTCTAAAGAAAAAATGTATATAATATTGAATAATTATTTTTTTATAAATGTTCTAGATGCCTCCCAAACGATGGCAATAAAAAAATGAACCCATTTCTTCTGGTAAGAAAGACAAGGCTTTCAGATCGAAAAACAAAAGCGACGAAGATTCTTGAAAATCAATTATGCACTAATAATGGAGATGTTCGTATTGTCAGTTAAAAAGATGGGATATGACTAGGTCAAATTAAAGCTCTCATCGCCAAACTAACAGCGTTAAAATATAGGCGATCCTTGGCTTGCCTAGAGGAAGATATTTGATTTCTACGGTGCTTACTGTTTGAGTATATAGAAACATTAGAATTGTTTATAGTAATATTTGTATGCAATCCACTTAGTATTTCAATAGCAGACTTCAAGAATCTTTCTCAAAATGTATTAATAGCATTAAGATCACATTAGTTTAGATGACTTCTGAAACTCAGATAGTATCAATATAGATAAAGATCAGCTATCAGTTATCAAAACCTTTAATTCATCAGCAGTTTCGATTTTTTTCAACTGAAAACAATAGATGATATAATAAACTATTTTAAACAATGTGCTGCAAAGTGCAGATGTAGGTCTTCAATCAGATGATAGTACCAAAGACTCTTTTTTGCACCAACTCAAATTAATAGTGTTCGTTCATCGCAATTGTTAATTGAATAGTACAGATAGTAAAATTTAAAGCAAACATCTTTTGGTTTTTCAATCTGTCCAATTGTTTCATTCGTTATTCGAGCTTGTATAAATCCATTCTTAATGAGATTTTTAAATTGTGGGGCTAATAATTGATTGTAAAAAGCAGAATGCATGTTGATGAAATATTGACGATCACTTATAATCATTTCTGTTCGATTTTCTTGTGAAAATATTGCCATGAGCAAAGTAAGGATAAATCTTGAAGTTGAAGTAATCAGTTGATCCTTCAGGAAAAATCAACAATTGGCTGTCTTGATTTGGAAAAATTTTTAAAGTTTGTTTACATCAGTTTGACTTCTCCAAGAATCAAGAAAAAGAAGGAATTTTCTATTCACGAAACGGCGTAAAACATCATGTAAAAAAGTGTAATGTGTTATGGTGCTGTTTTTTCCAGATTTTGATGCATGTACCATAACATTCAGTGGAATGATCATATTTTTTTGCACTCTTCTGCCAAATTCATTTTCTTTTTCATGAAGAATGTGTAAAGCTTGTCTAACAATGGACCATCAGCTGATGTAACAGGTTGTATTGTATAAGAATGAGTTATATTATGCTTTTTTTAACAACCACTTTGGTTATTCTTTCACTAGTAAAAGAAAGAGTCCATGGAGAGACGTATTCTTGTTGAAATGAACAGTGATCATCGTTTAAAATTTGATGGGAAGAATAATTTGATATTAAAGGTCTTTTACTTTTGACCCAATTTTGGACATCTAAAATATATATGGATACCGCATTAGGACAAAACTATTTGAAGCTGAAATAAAAGTTTAAATACTGTTTAAACTACAAAATTTTCTGTTTGATTTAGTTCGAGTAATAATTTCATTATATCTTCTTGATGATATTTTGTTTTCTTTTCTAAAAGTATTAAACATAGATTTGCTCGCCTTGAATGCAACTCAATTTAATTCTCCTGCCTTTTGAATTGCATAAAGTTCTAGATCAACATTATGAGCGACTTCTTTTTCAATTGTTCTTTACAAATAAGATTCGTTAAACATAAAGTCTCTAATTTGTTTTAATTTGTCTAATCCTTTGCCGTTGCTTTCAATATACACTCTAAGCCTTGTAATATAAGTCATACATTTGATTATTATAAATCCCTGGGAAATAGTTGTGAATCTGACATTCTGATGTTCCTCAACGCATTCGATTATGTTTCCCTCTTCTTCTAATGTAAAATGATTTTTTAAGTCAGAAAGGTCATTGTCACTATAATCATCATATTCATCATCGAATTCTAGTGTCATAAGTATACATTTCACTAAAGTAGCTGTCTCTAAATGACTTCAGAACTTTTAATAATTATTCTGAAACAAAAATTTCATCGATAGTTATTCCAGAATTTTCAGATCCATATCCAGTTTGAGCAAAATACAGAAGATGTTTAGCGATGTTCAATAAATTTATGTTTTTATGTGATGAAATAAGCCTCTTTACATGGTAGATACAGTAGAGAACAAAAGAGAATAATTCTTCGATAGTATATTTCTTTGTGATTTCTTAACAAGAAATTGCAAATAAAAGGTCAATAGAAACTACTCACATATTTACATTTCCTTTTTCTTTTTAAAACTATCTCTTCTATACTAACATTGGCGTTATTCTAATTTGTAGGAAGCCAGCTAGTGATAATTATTCACATGTCGTCTATGTGCTTGGTTAGCGATAGTATAATACGTAAGCAGACTTTTAAACCACCAAGTCATGCATCAATACACTTTAAGTTCGAATATTATACATACAAGCCATTTTTCAAACAAATTGTATATCTTCTTTTCGATACTAATTAACTTTCAGAAGTCGTCGAAACTAATATCATCTTAATGCTATTAATATATTTCAGAAATATTCTTGCAGTCTAATATTAAAATACTACGTTGATTGCATCAAAAAGAATGCAAAGAACCCTAATCGTCCTACATACTCAAACTGTGAATACCGTAAAAATTGAATACTTCCGTCTACTCTGGAAAAAAAAGGAGTTTTGCATAACCTTTTTGTGGGTTCTGCTATCGGGTAAAAGACAGAACCCTCAGAAAGGTTCTGCCTCAAAGTGGGTTTCGTGAAAAACCAACAGAACCATTAATAATTGATCATCAGAAATGGTTCAGTCTCAAAGGGTTCGGTGAGAAACTCAAGAAACCATTTATAATGCATCATCAAGAGAGGTTCAGTCCGACAGAAAAATTACCAATTTCAATGGCTTTCAGAAATCATTTGTTACTGCGAGGATATTGGTTCTACACGACAGAATTAGTTCAGTCGCTCGAAGCTATGCTGTCTCACTACAAAAAGACGTACCAACGAACAGTCTGAGCGAGTTTCCGGATGAATCACAATATAAAAAACATATTTACCATTTCAATTCAAACATATGAGTTACAAATGCTATGCCATGAAGACGAACCTAAACATAAAAAGTAAAATATCTATTTTTCATTTCAACATATGTAACTTACCAGATAATATTTTGTCAATATGAACCTAAATATAAAAAGAGAATATCTATTTTTCATTTCAATATAAGTAACTTACCAGATAATATTTTGTCAATATGAACCTAAATATAAAAGGAGAACATCTATTTTTCATTTCAATATAAGTAACTTACGATTGATATTACCTCGATATGAGCCTAACTAAAGAAAAATGGAAATTTTCGATTCTTTTTATTTCAATATCTAACTTACCATTAATGTGCCAGTGATATGGATCGATATAATAATAAAAATAGTTTTTGTTTCCTATTATATCACTGGCGACTGATACAGCAACAGTATGAAGGTGAACAAGTTGAAAAAAAGATTCTTTGTTCTAATATTTAGCTCAGCATTAGTATACAATCAAGTTGAATCGAAATATAGAAGATGGATAATTTCATTTTACTCGGTTTGTATTTCGCAAATGATTGTAATATAAATGAGGAGTTAACAAAAGAATATTTGATCCAATAAGTACTTCTTTGGAAATTATAAGGTGATATTGTGCATAAGGAAAGCAATAACAAACGGAAAAAAATCACACTAGTTACGTTTCTCCTTTTTACAATATCAGAAAAACATAACGAGGACAAATTACGAAAAAAAGTGTTTTCGTTTCAAATGAATGAATAAGTATGACAAACGAGATCTCTTGGGTTGTCGACGACGTGATAATGTTGTTGCTTCGATATTGGATGTTGTCTGTTTATTTTTTTTTGGATGCTGTGTTAATATAATTGTTGCTTCAGTATCGAAAGAACTTTTCTCAATTGTTTGAAAAATATTTAGATCGCTAGGAGGAGCTGTGGATTGTTTTCCCGATGACATAGAGTCATCTTTCGGTGTGTTTGATACTGTATATGTATTTCCCTTGGCAACTAAAATGAAATACCATACAAAGTATAAAATAATCGTTAAAGAGGAATTTTCAAAATAATAGATCAAATATTTTTGAATAAGCATTGCAAAATCGTTCCCTTTTGGTTGATGAAGTATCTTTTCTAAAGGATGATCATTTTGTAATATTTTTTAAGGCTTACCCAATTCTTGTGTATAATTAAATGAATGATTGATTGTGGGCTCTTGACAAACATTATTTACTTGTTGCTTTTGAATAAAATGCGTTTCTTCTAAGACATTTAAGGCCCACCCCCCACCCAAAATTTTATTTTTGCCATAGAACATCGAATCTTAACGAAATTTTCAGAGTAGATGTATCTTGGGCTGGGCACCTTGTGATAAAAATTTCAGCCTGAAATCTTAAGGATTCCAGGAGATAGCTTAATANCAATATAATAACATGTATATCATGGATGCTGGCAACAATAGAATTCAAAGATGGTGGCCTGGATCTACATATGGTGTTACAGTGGCTGCAGCAACATTATCCAATCCGAGACGAATGGCATTCGATCCATCTGGCAACTTAGTTGTTACCGATTATTCTAATCATCGTGTCGTATTATTTTCTGTTTACTGTCGTAAGTAAAAAAACTGTGGCATCCACTTTTCAGAATTGAAAGGGTTGAGCTATATATTTATTGTTCTTTTTCGTATTTTTTAGCGGCCACAAGTACTAGCACCATTTCGCCACCTAGTAAGTTCAAAAAAAATTAGCGACCAGTTTCTAATCCATTGGAAATATTCTGAATGTGTGCTGATGATTATTGATATACTAAATGTTTATATTGCTTTTGAGCAGTCTTCTCTCAGATCTTCGTTCGTGGGAGAAACGAATGTCTGAAAATTTTTCTTCAGGTACTTTACGGATTATACTGCTTATCACTATGTAGGAGTGGACCTTTGTTTTTAACTGGAGTTAATTAAGGGACTTTTTAAAGTGGTTTTAGTTAGTACTTAATATTAACAAAAAGAGTTCAGTAGTCATCACTGAATTGCTTAATATTAACCGTTAAGGTACCACGTGATTTTTAATATTAAGTGTTAAGGTTTTTACTTAAACACTTATGTCACTAGAAATTAAGCGACTAAGTGGTTCGTCCGAACAAGATCACATTTTCTTGTGATTTGGTATCCCACGGTTTCACTCGTATCTGATATACAGCAGAGCTACCAATAACTCTTCAGGACCTATATGATGGGGAACCATAACTCTTGATAAGCTATATGATGGGGGTATCCATAACCCTACATGGCCTATATAGTGAGAGCACTCATAATCTATCAAGGCCTGTATAATTGGGTTACCTGTAACTCTGCTTTATCTATCGAGATGTGGTTTACAGTGCTCTTCTTGGGCACGATATGTATGGTTCTAATATATCTGCAAGGCTTTTTCCTAGACTGAAGGGATCGGGTCTAGAAACGGAAATTCACTTGTCTCTCTCTGTCTATCAATCTAGCTGTTTGTTTGCAACACGTGATACAAATGACGATGGTGATGGTCGAAATGACCACAACCATGGTACAAACGATCGTCGCGACGGTACAAATGACCGTCATCATAGTACAGATGACCCTAGTTATTGTAAAAATGAGCATGGGGATGGTAGTAAATACTACAACTTTGATCATTGGTACCGTCGAGATGAGTGGTGTCACATATCCCGGAATTTGGAGATGCCACCGTGTCACCCGTGGGAGGTGCGGCATCTCTCAAGGGAGACGCGGTCATCTGCCATTGGAGATGTAAGATCTCGTCTAGAGATGCGCATCCCCCATACCAAAACTCATATATCCCGCGGAAGATAAAGTATCTCCCGCTGGACACGTGTTTGCATCTGCAAATTCCAGGATATGTGACAGTGCTGCGTGTTGAGGAACTTCTGTTTCAGACGCAAATGTTCCACTTCACGAAAATAGCGCATCGATAATTATCGCTAACTTGTCGCTACTCTCGAGGTTTGGCTTTGAAAAGAAATGAGATCGCTTCCTGTGAAAAAAAGAATAAATTGGTGTACTATTTTTTACTGAAAGTTCGATACTTAGTAATATATTGCATTGAAAGTAGCACATTATTTAGTAAGCATATTTTCGTTATTTATCTTCACAAGGGAGTGACTTCTGATAGTTGACGATTTATTTTACAAACCATTTTAGATGAGTGTCTATTTTGATGGAACAAAGTAAGTGAGTTTGTTCTAGACGTCTATAGAGGAGACTGCGGGTATGGTATAGCGCAATATGATAAATTAGGACATGCTTTGTCTAATGTGATAAGATCCTTATGTTTTTAAGACTTAAGGAAATAGCTTCTAGAGATTGCTACACTTCGAATAGTTTGAGATAGATTGGCACTAAGTCTCAGGTTTCCGGTTTCGGTCATTTCCGGTGCCGGGAATGTCAGATTTAGTCATACACTTAGTGTTTGTAGCACTAATGAATTATGGATTCCAAGTTGATGATAATTGCATGGTATTCAAGAGTTCATATTGGTGATAGCCGCTCATTACATTATGCATTACATCGATAATGTTGTTGTCATTAATAATTTCCGTCACGGAAATGATTTTTTTTATAAAAATAACGACTTTTTTTAAGTTTGGCTACAGGTAATCGGAGTCAAGGAATACAAATCTATAATTAGTCTCTCAAAATTCATCAGCATCGCTTCTCGATTGGAGAAGACTATTTTAGGTAGCAAATGCATTTTTAGAAAGAGAAATCAAAGTGATGAATTGGTAGAAGCCAATTATGGATTCGTATACCTCGATCCGGATTACCACCGGTCAAGTTTCATAAATAATCGTTATTTATCTGAAAAAAAGCTTTCCGTGATGAAAAAATCACCGATATAGCGAATAATACAACGAACGAACAGCATCAACACGAACTCGTGAATACCGTTGAATGATATTCGCCTTCGAATTCGTAATTAATTAGTGCTGCTGTCACTGTGAATAAATAAATCCGAATTTTGGTATCGGGAATGACCGAATTTAGGAAAACTGAAATCGAGATTTCCAAAGTGTTCCCAGTTTCGTTGCATATCTGCCACGTATAGTTCTGCATGAAATTGGAGTAAGCACAACTCTACAGAATTGAACAAGGAAAAAGTCACTCCTAATTCGACCACAAATTCTGCACTCTCGTTTCCAAGACGGTTAAATTTGTTTACCGCTTCATTCAACTTCTGATCTAGCTGTGCATTAACTACAGATGATCACCTTTATTAAAGCAAACCTGGCGAAGTGAATGAAGATGTCGACTTAAAGATCCACATTTGAAGATGAGCAGTTTCAGTAAACTGATCTCCGACAAATCGCGCAGTGATTCACTGGAACATTGACGGCACTGATATCGGCGTTAATGATACTGTGAGTTTACTGACATATGCATCCACTGCCTGAGCTGACTACATGTATCGGTGCTAACTGAAGCATTGAAGGGCACCGAAACACTGACGGTCAGTGAAAACTGACTACACGGTTATCGGTACTCACAATGGAGATTTTTGTGTTGATAAGTAGAAAGATGGGATATATTCGGGTCAAATGAAAGCTCTCACTGTCAAACTAACAAGGTTAAAATATTAGCGGCTGTTGACTTGGTTAGAGGGAGATATTCGATTTTTACAGTACTCACACTTTAGATACATAAGAACATTAGGACTATTTGTTTTCATTTTTTTTAATGTAACTAACTGAGTAAATCAATATTAGGCAACAGCTGTCTTTCTGGAATTTATCAATAACGTTAAGATAGTTTTGATATCTTCTAGAAGTTAATTAGTATCTAATATTTATAAAGATCCGCTAGCAGTTATTGGAATCTTTAACTTATGAATAATTTCGATTTTATGTCAACTGAAAACAATATATTATATGACATACTATTTCAACCAATGTATTACAAGTGCATATGCAGATTTTCAATCAGATGATAGTAGCAGAGAGCTTTTTTGCACCAAGCACACATTAATAGTGTTCTTTCGTTGCAGCTGTTAATTGAACTGTACAGATCGTAAAATTTGAAGCAAGCATCTTGTGGTTTTTCAATCTGTCCAATTGTTTCATTTCTTATTTGAGCTTGCATAAAGCCATTCTTAATGAAATTTTTGAATTGTGGAGCTGATAATTGATTGTGAATAACACTTCCGAAAAACTTTGTATAAAAGTTTGCGTTTGAACGCCAAATTTTATTAAAAAGACGTTATTTTTGCGTTTGAACGTACCATGTTCTGCCTTCAACACGTTGAAATGCATTTTTGCCAATTCACCACGCGCTGAAACTCATCTTTTTTATTTGCTACGCATTTTTTTCAACTTAAAATGTCAACTGAAAACAACGTTCGAACATATGATAAGAAAACGCATTTTTCTCCCCAACGAACGCTATGAAAAACATCATTTGAGCGCAATACTTTCCACGTGTTCGTATACCTTAATTGGCCCTGCTTCTCAACGCGTTTTTTCTTCTTGATAAACAGCTTATTCTTGCAGATGCTCTAGGACGCATATTTTAATGCATACTTTTAGTTAAAAATTGAGGATTCTTGCACGAATGGAGTAGAATATGATTTTTTCGATTTTTCTTTCGCAGAGCATGAGATTTTTTGCAAAAAACTTGTGTTAATATTTATATTCGTATTTTCAGTAACAACATCATTATTAATACTCGGAAACTATTAGGGTTTGTGAATTCGTATTCACAATACCTTATAAACTCTAAAAAGATAATTTAAAAAATTAATTTAAAAGAATAAAAATTTAGTGTACAAAAATTTAAATTTCTCATAAAAGTAAATTCTCGTAATTTAATTTAATTTTGAATTTAACTTGAGATGAATTTAAAGTTATAATAAACACAAAATTCAAAATTAATCCTTCTATTCAGTATATATATACAGATATTTCAGTCTATTAATATCGTGCGTAAATCTAGTTCAATGACAACAGTTAAGTCAAGCCAAAAGATCAATGTTCGAATCTACTCATCACCAGAATCAAGAAGAAATAGTCAACCGTTCAGACGCGTTTTAGGACAAACAAAGTTCGTTTTCGTTCCTGCAAAATGCCCATCGACAGAATGCGTCCTCCATTTGCTTTTTGTTTTCCGTTAAAAAAAAGCGTTAAGAGGCATTCGGAAAAGTGCGTTTAACTTCTAGCGAAAACATGCGAATTGATTAAGAAAACGCGTTTGAACGCAGATTTCGCGATTTTTTTTTTCGTGGGCAGAATGTATGTTCATGAAATATTGACTATCACTCATAGTCATTTCTATTCGATTGATATGAGTGTAATGTTCGATTTTTTTCATGAATAAATCACCACGAACGCAACAAAGAAAGATCTTGTAGGTGGATGTAATCGATTGATCCTTCAAGAAAAGTCAATAATTGACTGTCTTGATTAGGAAATGCTGCTCTAAATTTTGTTAGATTAGCTTGATTTTTCCAAGAATCAAGGAAGAGAAGAAATTTTTTACCAAACGATGGGCGTAAAACTTCATTTAAAAGTGCGTGATGTTTTTCATCGCTGATTGTTTCTGATTTTGAAGCTTTGTTTACAACATTTGGTGGTACAATTAAATCTTTTTGCACTATTTTACCGAATGTATTTTTCTTTTTCTTGAAGAATGAGAAAGATTTTCTCTAATAAGTAACCATTAGTTGATGTAGCTGGTTGAGCTGTATAAGAGTGCATTGTATTATTTTTTTTAACAGCTACTTCTGTTGCTATTTGTCCAGTAAACGAAAGGAGTGCTTGAAGAGCCGTATTCTTGTTGAAATGAGTAATGATCGCTGTATAAAATTTCACGAGAAGAATACCTTGATATTAAAGGTTATTGACTCTTGATCCAATTTTAAGCATCTAAAGTATGTAAGCATATCACAGTAAGACATATGTACTTATAGATTCAATAGAAGTTTATATACCATTTAAACTGCAAATTCTTCTTGTTGCTTTCGTTCGGGTAATAATTTTGTTATATCTTCTTGATGATATTTTGTTTTCCCTTTTAAAAGAATTGATAAACGATTTACTTGCCTTGAACGTATCCCAATTTAATTCTTTTTTTTTTTTGAATTGCATAAACTTCAAGTTGAGCATCATGAACGGATTCTTTTTCAATCGTTTGTTTCAGATAAAATTCGTTAAACATGAATTCTTTAATTTGCTTTAATTTTTCTAATCTTGCACAATTGTTTTTGATATATTGTCTAGAACGTGTAATATAATACATTTAATTAACCTTTTGAAATTGACAGAAAATAGTTGCAATTGAAACATTCGAATGCTCGTCAAACTATTCGATTATATTTTCCATTTCTTCTAATATAAAACGATTTTCTTTATCAGAATATTCATTCTCGTTGTAATCATCGATGCCATCATCGTTTTCTTCTTCATTAGTCATTTCATCATATTCATCGTGCAATTCTGGAGTGTCATAAATATACAATTCACTGAAGTAGCTATCTTTAAATGACTTCAGAACTTCAAGTAATCGTTTTGCAGCAAAAAATTCATCAGTAGTTGTTGCAGAATTTTCAGATCCATATTCAGTTTGTGCCAAATAGAGAAGATGTTTAGCAATGTTCAATAAGTTCATGTTTTACTTTCATGCAATAAACTCTTTTTACTTGGTATATACAGCAAAGAACACAAGTGAATAATTCTCCAATAGTATATTTCTTTGTGATTTTAACATCAAGTGCAAAGAACTGGTCAATAGGAACTATTCACATATCAAAATTTTCTTTTTTCTTTTTAAAACTCTATCTTCCATACTAGCATTGGCATTACAATAACTTGTAAGAAACCAACTCGTGATTATAATTTACGTCTCATATATCTGTCTCGGTCAACGATTGCATAATACGTAAACAGTCCTTTAAACCACCACTTGACGCATCAGTGCACTTTTAGTTCAAATACTCTATGTACAAGTCACTTTTTTTAGATACATCATGTTTTTTTCATTTCAATACTACATAAATTCCAGAAGATGTCGAAACTACTGTGATCTTAATGTTATTGATAAATTCCAGAAAGACAGCTGTTGCCTAATATTGATTTACTCAGTTAGTTACATTAAAAAAATGAAAACAAATAGTCCTAATGTTCTTATGTATCTAAAGTGTGAGTACTGTAAAAATCGAATATCTCCCTCTAACCAAGTCAATAGCCGCTAATATTTTAACCTTGTTAGTTTGACAGTGAGAGCTTTCATTTGACCCGAATATATCTCATCTTTCTACTTATCAACACAAACACCTTCGTTCTCAGTGCAAGACTGTCATACCGATATTGATTTCTGCTTATTAGAATGTACATTAGATTATTATAACATCTGCTGGATATAGTAAAGCCCTCAACACATTAAAAGACCCCGGGTCTTCTATTCTGTCCTATCGTTCACAAACTGCAAGAGGTGTCTTCTATTATGTCCTTAAAAAAAGAATATTTTCTTATGTTAGCCTCATCTATGTGGTTTTGTAAGTCTTTTTAAGTTCTTCTATTGTTTTTAAAGGATTATTGGACTTTTTGATGCTACTACAGCCAACAAAAGTCGATACTCTATAATAAAAGATCATTTCACAAAACTAGCATTTTTTTTATAAAATGTAAAAGATCACATAGAATATGATTAAATGACAATTAAATGTAGGAATATTTTTCACAGGATAAAACAAGTCGTTGATAAAATAATATCATTTCATACAATCAAAATGGAAAAAAAATTTACTTTCTCCACATGTCCTTTAAGCTAAGTTGTTTATGTTGAATAGCAACAACTAATGTTTTCGATGTTGAGGGAGTTGATGATTTGTTAAGACAATTTTCTTCATTATTACCAGAAGTAGTTGAATTTTCAAGTTCATTTTCAATACGGTACTCGTTGTTACTAACGAGGGAACCGTTTCAAGTGATTCACGCTGATTTTGCTTATATTTTGCCCATATGTAGGGGTCAGTATGCTAAGAA